GTACAGCACACTTTTTATTAATATGGTAAGGAAAGACTGAGCCTTTATTATGGAGAGGTTCGGTTTGTGACTAAGCCTGGCCTACATAACAAAAGTGTGAAAAAGAAAGCTAAACCTGGTATAACAGAACTGGCTGTCTATCAGTAACCTGTAATAGTTGTCTGTCAAATAAGATGGTCCAAATAAGTGTAGTTAAATCTTTTTTGCATGGTTAATCACATCTTTCCAATGATTACTCAGTTTGTAACCATCATCACGGTTGAAATTATGTCTGTGTTTGTATATTTGTATGGCTTCGTGTACAACCCTTTGATGGTAGCCAGGAAGTTTGCAGAGCACCTTGGTCTCGGAAAAGACAATTGCTACAACTCTGTGGGCTCTCATGAAATTGTCTTTTCCGAGACCAAGGTGCTCTGCAAACCTCCTGGCTACCATCAAAGGTCTGTACACGAAGCCATACAAATATACAAACACAGACATAATTTCAACCGTGATGATGGTTACAAACTGAGTAATCATTGAAAAGACGTGATTAACCATGCAAAAAAGATTTAACTAAACTTATTTGGACCATCTTATTTGACAGACAACTATTACAGGTTACTGATAGACAGCCAGTTCTGTTTTACCAGGTTTAGCTTTCTTTTTTCACACTTTTGTTATGTAGGCCAGGCTTAGTCACAAACCGAACCTCTCCATAATAAAGGCTCAGTCTTTTGTTATGTAGCCTATTACCATCTACATGGCAGAGGCTCGGTCTCATTTGCAGCATTTGTTATGTAGGCTAGGCGTTAGTCACAAACCGCACCTCTCCATAACAAAGGCTCAGTCATTTGTTATGCAGTCTATTCTTAGTCTTAAGCCTCACCTTACCATATTAATAAAAAAGTGTTTACTTGATACAGCTGTCGGGCTGTGACGGTTCCACTTGAAGATGGAAGCTTGTGTTGCCTCCGAAACGTCGTGATTTTTATTTTTATTTTACTTTTATTAACTTTAATTTTTTACCTACGTGACTTTACAGAAAAAACCTAAGAATATAAACATTCCCCGGCCCATATTGCAACTTTTTCGTCGAACATTTTTCTTATTTTTTATCTCTTAAAATTGTCATTTAAATTACACTTTTAAAAGCACCTTTGTCAAATCAATTTTGAAAGAAGACCTCCCCACCACCACGTCGGTTGGTGTTGGGAATGGGGACAGGTGGCGCCGGGGGCTGGAGGCGCGGGGCGTTAGGGGGGATGCCAACTAATTACAGTGAGGGAAAAAAGTATTTGATCCCCTGCTGATTTTGTACGTTTGCACACTGACAAATAAATTATCAGTCTATAATTTTAATGGTAGGTTTATTTGAACAGTGAGAGACAGAATAACAACAACAAAATCCAGAACAACGCATGTCAAAATTTTTATAAATTGATTTGCATTTTAATGAGGGAAATAAGTATTTGACCCCTCTGCAAAACATGACTTAGTACTTGGTGGCAAAACCCTTGTTGGCAATCACAGAGGTCAGACGTTTCTTGTAGTTGGCCACCAGGTTTGCACACATCTCAGGAGGGTTTTTGTCCCACTCCTCTTTGCAGATCTTCTCCAGGTCATTAAGGTTTCGAGGCTGACGTTTGGAAACTCGAACCTTCAGCTCCCTCCACAGATTTTCTATGGGATTAAGGTCTGGAGACTGGCTTGGCCACTCCAGGACCTTAATGTGCTTCTTCTTGAGCCACTCCTTTGTTGCCTTGGCCGTGTGTTTTGGGTCATTGTCATACTGGAATACCCATCCACGACCCATTTCCAATGCCCTGGCTGAGGGAAGGAGGTTCTCACCCAAGATTTGACGGTACATAGCCCCGTCCATCGTCCCTTTGATGCGGTGAAGTTGTCCTGTCCCCTTAGCAGTAAAACACCCCCAAAGCACAATGTTTCCACCTCTATGTTTGACGGTGGGGATGGTGTTCTTGGGGTCATAGGCAGCATTCCTCCTCCTCTAAACACGGCGAGTTGAGTTGATGCCAAAGAGCTCCATTTTGGTCTCATCTGACCACAACACTTTCACCCAATTGTCGTCTGAATCATTCAGATGTTCATTAGCAAACTTCAGACGGGCATGTATATGTGCTTTCTTGAGCAGGGGGACCTTGCGGGCGCTGCAGGATTTCAGTCCTTCACGGCGTAGGGTGTTACCAACTGTTTTCTTGGTGACTATGGTCCCAGCTGCCTTGAGATAATTGACAATATCCTCCCGTGTAGTTCTGGGCTGATTCCTCACCGTTCTCATGATCATTGCAACTCCACGAGGTGAGATCTTGCATGGAGCCCCAGGCCGAGGGAGATTGACAGTTCTTTTGTGTTTCTTCCATTTGCAAATAATCGCACCAACTATTGTCACCTTTTCACCAAGCTGCTTGGCGATGGTCTTGTAGCCCATTCCAGCCTTGTGTAGGTCTACAATATTTTCCCTGACATCCTTGGAGAGCTCTTTGGTCTTGGCCATGGTGGAGAGTTTGGAATCAGATTGATTGATTGCTTCTGTGAACAGGTGTCTTATATACAGGTAACAAGCTGAGATTAGGAGCACTCCCTTTAAGAGTGTGCTCCTAATCTCAGCTCGTTACCTGTATAAAAGACACCTGGGAGCCAGAAATCTTTCTGATTGAGAGGGGGTCAAATACTTATTTCCCTCATTAAAATGCAAATCAATTTATAACATTTTTAACATACGTTTTTCTGGAGTTTGTTGTTGTTATTCTGTCTCTCACTGTTCAAGTAAACCTACCATTAAAATTATAGACTGATCATTTCTTTGTCAGTGGGCAAACGTACAAAAATCAGCAGGGGATCAAATACGTTTTTCCCTCACTGTAATTGGGAATTAATGAGGAGGGGGATAAATAGGGGAGCATCAGAGCAAGACGAGGAGTTGTGCTGGGAGCTGGACGGAGTCGGTCAGAGCAGAAGAAGAAGAAGTGTAGAGTAGCAGTGGAGAAGAAGAAGTGTAGGGTAGCAGTGGAGTAGAAGAAGTATAGAGTAGCGGTGGAGTGGAAGAAGAAGTATAGGGTAGCAGTAGAGACGGAGAAGCTGAACGAGAGAGATAGTCAGAGTGAGACAGAGCAGCTGAACGAGACAGACAGTTGGAGTGAGACGGAGAAGCCGAGACAGAGTGACGGCTGGAGTGGGACGGGGAAGTAGAGACGGAGAGAGAGAGGGAGGAACGGAGCGAGTGAGGCCGGCGGAGCGCGTCGAGCGAGTGGAGAACGCGCTAAAGGATGGTGGAGAAATGTGCTGTGTTGGACAAAATAGAGTGATGACAGAAAAGGAAGAAGTTGTCCTGGTATAGTTCAGCATTACAAAAGTTGCGCATTTTGATGTGACATCACATTTCTCAAACCCCTGCATCGTCACAAATGTCTGACCCCCCCCTCCTCCCATAGGTGCGTGACGTCATTTATGGACGGCCCCAAACCAATTCAGACCTTATTGCTCACCCCGTGCCCTTAACAGTCTCAACGTTCATCCTACAATGTCCAATCACAAGGGAGAAACACGAACAAATAATGTTTGTTGTTTCCTGTTTTGAAATGGCTATACGCCGTATGGACCTGAAAACGAAATTTCCCTCTACAAGAACACGGGTAAACCGTATGAGTTGCCGCATAGTGCTTTACCTTATCCACAGGCACAATCCAGGTTCAACGCCTGCCCCATAGCTGCTGAGTTGTGACGGGATCGGGACGCAATGCGAGTGATCTGGTCACAGAGGCCATGTTCCAACATAATCTTCCAAATTGTTTATGCAATCACAACGTGAAACTCCCATAAAAGTTTTTTTTTTATACTCTGTTACTTTTTGCCTTGTATCTGTTTTTTTACAGGCAGTAGAAAGCTTGACGACTGCGAATCCCCCAGTGGTTATTCATTCTGCACTATTTGCACAGCAAGGGTGGACTACATGGACATCGCGAACAATGCATCTCGGTGCAAAGAATGCGGCGTCTGCAACACAATCTGTAACTAATCTCACATCAGTGTGTTTTAGTGATAAAATGTTGGTCTCACAATGAATCCATAGCCGATAGAGTTGTTTTTTTCGTTTAACACATTTTTTTTTATATAAAATAAAAACTAGCAGCCCACACATACTTTAGATCATCTGCACCCGGTCATCTACACACCACGTTCAAAACGGGTAATAAATAGGGTAGAGCATAAATTTCGATTTAAAGCTTTCGTGACTGCAGGGATTCATCTTCTTGGTTCTTTCGGTAAAGTCACGTAGAAGGGAAGTAATAAAATAATAAAAATAAAACATAATAAAACAATTCTCACGACGTTTCGGCCACAACGCAAGCAGCCGTCCTCAGGTGAAAACCAGGTCCGTCGAGGCGACAGAGTCTGAATGAAACAGCACACGAGCTTGGAGCATATATATAAGCTGGGCGCATTGACATGCAAATTCCTTTGTCAATGCGCCCAGCTTATATATATGCTCCAAGCTCGTGTGCTGTTTCATTCAGACTCTGTCGCCTCGACGGACCTGGTTTTCACCTGAGGACGGCTGCTTGCGTTGTGGCCGAAACGTCGTGAGAATTGTTTTATTATGTTTTATTTTTATTATTTTATTACTTCCCTTCTACGTGACTTTACCGAAAGAACCAAGAAGAGGGTAGAGCATCTCAGCATTTCAGTATTATATGTGTAATAAACATTAAAGCATCGTGAATTTCGCATTATAATCGTTGGTGATATGTCAGGGTTAAAGACATGAATTACATTTTTCTGTGAGGCAATCTTAAGACTAAGGCCTGGTCTTGATTAAAACGATGCTAAGGATAACACTGGTCAACACACTTTTTCTGGCATAAGGTATTCCAACGGTTGTAAGGTAATTTTGGGGTGCTGATTCCAAATCTGGCATCAGTTTTTGTCTATCACATCAGGTTTTTGAGATATCAAATATTGCATCTTCAATAAAAACTGCAGAAGAAAAATATTTCATAAATGTGGATATCTACATAAAATTATATTATAAACACACTATCCTAAAAATACAGCACCATATTTTAACACTAAAGCAGTCACTGACTCACAACAACTTGCAATCATAAGTGACAGAGCTAATTTCGGGTAAAATCAATGAAAATGGGGTATGCCGATAGCATAACGATGAGATGTGATAGAGCAAATCTGAGATCAGATTTGGAATCAGCACCCTGAAATTAGTTTAAAACAGCTGCAAAAGTCCAGGCCAGAAAAAAAATGTTTTTTTTTGTTGACCAGTGTAATTGTAGATGTACTGGTGGACAGTTTTTTTTTATATTTGTAAGACAAGACATTTGTCCGAACAAGCCACACAACAGATTTAAAAGAAAGTGTAAAATGGGAGTAACAGTTTTGTCTGTCATTCAGATAAAGATGTTGAAGAGTTTTGCAGTTCCACTCATGACACTGTGTGCCGGTGTAAAAGTGACAACAGCCGATCTGATCCTGCACAGCGCTGTTGGATAAAGCTGAGTCAAGGTCAGAATTGTATTCTAAATGTATGATTTTACCTTAACCTTTACTAACAGCCACTAGTGCTGGACAACATAAGCGACCATACGATGTCAATACTAGTGTCCAGGTATTAAATACAGTCCTGTATAGAATTACCAATGAAAGACATTGGTGCCCGCGCCATATCGTCACTTATATTGGCCAGCACTAGCATGTATGTAATTAACAAAACAGATAAGCAGACAATGTCTCCGTCATATATCTGTCTCTTTGCTTAAAAAAAGTATTTCTTACACGATCCACCGGCTACGCAGACTTTGGGGCAGGCATAATTTCAGCAGCTAAAGATGCAGCAAGAGCGATTTCTGGACCGGTTTCGACATTGTCTTACCCCTGCCTCTATCACTCCTCTCTCATCTCACGCTACTTTCCCGCACGCTTTCTACACTTCAGCAATAGAGGCCTCATTCTTACAAATCCACCCACTGTCAACCTTTGTTCCATGAGAGGTCACTTCTTTTTGGTTTCTGCCTCTGCGCCTGGAATTATCTTCTGCGTTGACTATGTGCAGTTGAGACTGTGCCCTTGTTCAAGCCAATTACCTCAGACTCATTTGATATCATGTGCTTGCATGTAAACGCTAAGTAAATGTACATTGTATAGTATTCAGTATCTCATTTAAAAAAATGTTGAACTACCAGATGTTATAGGAAAAAACCTCTTAAAGATATGCATCTAGTTTGGCGCAAACTTATATAATACATATCTCTCAATAATCACTTGCGTTGTTGATGGACCATATAAATCACAAAATAGATAAGCAATGTCTCCTTCATATATCTGTCTCTGCACGTAAAATATAAAATATATAATATATATGCATTACACCCCCTTTTCCTCCGTTACAATATTCTCCGGATTATAAGATGCCAATTTTTATTTTTTTCCCAGCGTCCACTATATTTGTAAGGTGTTTACATTCTATACCTCTGTTTCACGCCTTGCCTAGATGTCGTATTTGCTCCAAAAATTACCCAAACGTTTTGGATGCATCTTAATTTCTGAAACGGCTAATAATATGTAGAATACGGATCCCACTGTACTAATTCTAGATTTGAAGTTTTCATAACTACAAGGATTCATACTCTTTGGTTTTTTCGGTAAAGTCACGTAGGTAAAAAAATTAAATAAATTAAATCACGACGTTTCGGAGGCAACACAAGCTTCCGTCTTCAGGTGGAACCGTCACAGCAAAATCACTGTACCAAGTGAAGAGAGCTCCAAGAGATACGAGAATATATACAGGTTAAAGGGGGGGGGGGGGAGGAGCCAAGATGGGCCGTGGGGGGGGGGCTAAGTTAAGCCTCCTTGTGTTTTGCTGCAGGGGATTAGGAGGACGGATGAGCGGATGGGCGGAGAGAAGTTTGCCGTGGTTGAAAAAAATACAGACATGAACACAGTTAAAATATATATATTCTCGTGTCTCTTAGAGCTCTCTTCACTTGATACAGTAATTTTGCTGTGACGGTTCCACCTGGAGACGGAAGCTTGTGTTGCCTCCGAAACGTCGTGATTTAATTTATTCAAAAAAACGTACCCACTGTACTACTACACCCTCCCCCCGCTCCCTACTAATAATAGTCATAACAAATGACTCAACTTTGCATGTTATGTGTTGATTATGCTGTTGCTGTGTGCCTATTTTATTTCTCACCCAAAGAAACGATGGCAATTATTCTTATTGGCGTCGGCGCTACCATTGCTGTTATTGCCATGGCAGGTCTTGCGATTTTTACCATAAAGAAAAATAAGAGTAAGTAACCTTCCAACTTTCCTCGTGTGACTGTTCACTTTATGTACACTCCTATTTCAAGGCACTTTGGGACCAGGACGGCCACCACACAGCATGAGGGCCGTGCTGGTTTAATGACCATACTTTGCCACGCTGCTGAAATTTGGCTGACGGCAGGGAGCATAGACGTGGGCACATTGGTGAAATGTTGCTGCACTGCTATCTTCTCCACAAAATGTACACTCGTATGACTAATACTCTTAGGTTTTTTCGGTAAAGTCACGTAGGTAAAAAGTAATAAAATTAAAATTAATGAAAGTAATAATATAAATAAAATAATAAATCACGACGTTTCGGAGGCAACACAAGTCTCCGTCATCAGGTGGGACCGTCACAGCTAGATTCACTTGATACAGTAAATCGAGCTGTGACGGTCCCACCTGATGACAGAGACTTGTGTTGCCTCCGAAAGGTCGTAATTTATTATTTTATTTCTATTATTACTTTTATTAATTTTAATTTTATTATTTTTTACCTACGTGACTTTACCGAAAAAACCTAAGAGTATGAATCCTTGCAGTCACGAAAGCTTCAAATCTAGAATCGTATGCCTAATCTGGCATGCATGGTGGTCGCCCATGTAAGCACTATCCAGGCTGAAAGCAGCTGGGCTTCTGAGATCTGGGGCATATCAAGTGATATTATCTAAGCAATTAGTTCTTAATGAGCTGTTATATCATTTTCAAAGCACAAATGGAGCGGACAATAAGATCTTAATTTAGAGGGTCAAAGACTCTTTCAGAATGAACGGATGAGCAGGCTGTAAACAATTCAAATTATTCGCAATATTTATATATATCATGTATGCATATTGAACTTCTTTCGCACCGTACATAGCCAACCGTGCTAATCGGAGGTGCGGGGGGAAGAACAAAAACATAAAAACACAAAAAATATATACATTTACAAATATATTTAACCAGTGAATTAAATTCCCATGTTTTATATGTGTAAGTATAATATGTAAATTTCGCATATGCATAGTAATTGGACATAGTCTATGACATAGTGCAAACTCTACTCTGTATTGTTTATAAAACCACTCGATAACATTATGATTCCGTTCTGATTCTTCTCTTGTTTTTTACATAAGATTTGACTTTCAGTTACATTTCCATTTTAGTTCTGACAAAATCATAGTGCTCTCATATCAGTTCTCGTTAACGAAATGCATAGATTTTAGTTCTAATCCTCGTAAAGATAAGAACGCTTTAAGGAACCATTATTTATGTTTTTTAGTTAACTTAACTTCCTGCTTATCGAACTCAACTAGGTTCAGTGGCGCCTTCAGACACTGTCTCTCCGCTGCAGCTATGCACACAGGAAGGCGACTGTGTATATGGTACGAGCTGATCCTACTTTAATTATATAATGATGCAAAACATCTTCGAATAAATAAATTGTAGTATAATTAACAAAAGTATTCAACGCATTCTTCAATAACACTGCCTTAAAAAGAAGTATATAAATCAGCGACGTTTCGGACAATGACCCTTCTTCACAGCACATCAAATAAGGGCTATATCACAAACTGTAACTTATTGAAAGTGTTTTTTAAGGAAGTATTATTGAGTTTTTTTGTTTGTTAATTGTGCTTGTGCATCAATGCAGCAGCGTCACCAAATGTGGTGTTTTATTAGTGGTATGATGCAGGGCTTCACAACTGGCGTGCCTCAGTATTTTCGGAATTTTTAGGGGTAAGAACCACAATAAGCCCCCCATCCCCCGCCTTCCCCTCTCCATTGGTCGCGGCTGAATGTGGCAGTGAACCGTCAGCCCCCGGCCCTCTCGAATCCCTCGTTCGCGTGCGTGCAGTTGGGAAAACACACACGCACTGTGACACACGCAGAGGCATGTGAACACGGAGACACACAGATACATGGTGACACACACAATGACACGCAGACATTTAGAGACGTGGAGACATACATAGACGCACACACACATACGTATAGACATGGAGACATGCAGAGAGACACACGGAGACACGGAGACATACGGAGACATACAGAGACGCACATGGAGACACAGACACATACACGAATACGCTCACCCAGTTGAGCAAATTCTTGTCACGGATTTTGAGCGCCACTTGATTATCTTATTCTCGATAAGATCAGAATATGCAAGGGATTGTGAATTATCTGTCAGCTAAAATGCATTTCCACCCACCCACTCCGGTCCACAGTCACATTTTTGGTTTTGTGTGCCGTGAAGATTAAAGCAAGCTCGAAAGTGTGCCGTAAAGTTGAAAAGTTTGAGAAGCATTGGTTAATCATTTGAAATAAATTGCAATTCAGCCATCCAATCGAGCAATCACATTTTGGAAAGTAGGCATTTTTCGCTGAATTTTGGTGAATCAATGCCCAAAGTACTAATGTTGGTTCTATAATCATAAGCATTTTAATGAATCAGTAATATACATGATAACGTACTGCTTCTTGAGCGCTGGTGGTTACATTTCAACCATCCTTGCGCCACTTTCCCGAGAAGTCAAAATATATATAGCACGCATTCCACTTTCATCAGCATCACAGAGCATCACTCTCAGTTGACGGTACTGAGTGGACGTCTATTTTTTTCGCAGAAAGAAAATACAGTACGGTCCAGCAAACAGAAGATATACATCTCACAAATGTTCTTGAGGTAAATAAAACACGTTTTTGAATGATGAAAGTGGGTCCGCATTTGATGTGATGCCCTCAACGGTACAAATACGCATTTACTTTAAAGTCTCCAAAAATGCTTTCAGTGGTGTGTATTGAGTCACACAGCCAGGGGCCATGGGAGATGCCGATTCGTATTCAGAAGCCACCAGTGGATCATATTTAAGACCCTCCCACGGACTTGCCCCTGATTACCTATCCCCTCTCTTCTCACTTTACTCACCTGCACACTCAACTAAAACACATCGCACTTTTTTGTGGGTTTCCCTCTTTCTGTATCTGTCTCCAAATGCCTCTATCTCCATGTGCAACTATGAGGCTCTTCTCCAAGTCCGCATATCTATCCACGAATACACAATACAATTTGTGTTTAAAGAGCATATAAATGCAACCATACCTCAAGACACTGTACAGAAAAGGTGGGAATATTTCCATACAATGTATAAGGCAAAGTTTCTCTACGTTGCATAACATCAGGGTCAATCATAATGTGAATTGAATAACATTAGCTTCTCTATCATTTAAACAGGGTCCACGCCAGCTCATCAAGCACAGGATGTGCTCCAGTGAGGCAGAAGTATGGCCTCAGATGGATACGATGTTGCCGGAAGTGTACAACTTAATCTGCGCAAACACCTTTTTCGTATTGCATGAGCTGTTACGAATCCAGATGATTTCGCTGCCAGTGTTTTGGGAGGCCTATGAGAAGATCGACAACCCATCGTGCTCTGTCTTCATCATCGCCCACTTCATTAATGATGGCGAAGAGAAGTGTCAGGGGCTCCTGAACATGATCCACGCTGGGCAGGACATGCAAACACAGCTGCTGAACACGCTCAACTATGCCGGTACGTAACCTGCAATGGGTGACCAGATGTAACGCACAATATCACCAAAGGTATTCCTTATCTGTTCAAAATAACTGTTCTAAGTACTCAGTCTTTTTCCACATGGCGGGGGTGTTGTGATCACCAACATTTATTTTGTCTATGTTGAGGTTGCTGAATGAGCAGCTTTAGGAGTAGCCTGGCGAATATCTGAAATGCTGCTATACAGCACGGTTGGCTACATACTGTGCGAAATAAGTTCAACATACATACGGATAATGATCTAAGCGATACAGTGGTGAACAATGTGGTGCATAGTTTGAGATTGGTGACCTCAGTTGTACTCTGGCCTATTCTTAATGTTCCATCGAAACATTACGTGATTACTGATTACAAACAACAACACATCTCACTGCTCAAATGCCTCAAATCAATATTGGGGCAATGCTAACACCCCTGTTGGAGTCCTGAGCCACTCATAAATGCCACAGTAGGCCAAAAAGGTAGCTAATAGACATTCTTCGGTATAGCATTTTTCTGGAATACATGAGCATTTTGAAATTGCATTCTAAGAGTCAGCGAATGACAGCAACCCTCATATATAAGTTAACTTTGTTACTTGCATACGATACTCTCAGATCAGCCCAGTACTTTAGATGTGTTCCTAACATATAACCAAATTCCATGCACGGTTGATGTCATTGCGCCAAGTGGCAGGTTTGATCACTGCCATCACTGTAAGGCATCCTTACAGCTTAAAGATAACATAAACATAGCATTAGAATGCCGATTTCGACGGTCTGTATGATTTATTATAATTTAACGTGCTTCGAAAACTGGCTTTCAACAAATGATGCCTCGATAATCATCTCATCTTCTACATATATTATCCTGATTTTTGTCAACCTTTTTAATTTTCGTTTAGTTTTATCCCAAATTTTAGCACTTTTGAAACAGTACTCTCCAGCAGTTTTCAAGTGTATTGCAGTAAAATGTTCATATTTGTTATCTGTAATATGTCCACAAGTAATTTCATGGCTTCTTTGCAGACAAGTGCTCTCCGACGCTGAATCCTGACTCAGCACATCCAGATATTATTGTTTCAGGCGATCTCAAGACAGCGACATGGACCAGAAACCCACAACCTTATTGCGACCATCCAGACCGATTTGATTACTGGATACAAGTAATGTCTCGTGAGAACTTTTCTTCTGGATGCCACTGCTGGGTGGTGAATGTGGCGGAGGTGGAGAGCCATCGAGTTGGTGTCGTGTATGGATCAATGCAACGAAGGGGGAGAGCCAATGCGTGTTTGGTGGGATTCAACAGCTTGTCCTGGTGCATACGGAAATTGAATAATAATTTAGCTGTCTGGCACGACAAGCAAAAAACAGAGTTGGACGTGAATAAACACCCTTGCAGAATTGGCATTTGCCTTAACTATGATGCGGGGATCCTGTCATTTTACAATGCTGACAACAAGATGCTTTTGCACACATATTATGCTCGATTCACCGAACCTCTCCATGCAGTCTTGCACATGTGGAATGGCTCTCTCACCTTAGAACCTGCTGATGACAATTAGCAGGTTCTCTAAAGACAATTAATTTGTTTTAAATTATCCACAACTAAAACTCAACACATCTGTCCATAACATATTCAGAGATCTCTCTACTATGAAGTGCAATTGCCAAAAACGTCACCTTTTATATATGTTCCCTTTCATCGATGAATGTACTCAAACATTTGAACTCGATGGAACCATTCTCTTGGAATCAATTATCTTATCAGAATGTCACCACATTCCAGTCACATTTCAGATGCACGAGGAGTACCCCAAAATAAATGTTTTTACTGGTAGGAACCACCTGGTTCCACCAGCCCACAGGGGATTATTGTATCCGTCCGTCCGTCGTGCATCCAAAAATGGGAGGGGTGGGGCTGGGTAGAGAGGGGAGGGTGGGGAGGGGCTGGGGGGAGGGTGGGGAGGGGCTGGGTGGGAGGGGAGGGTGGGGAAGGGGTGGGTGTGGAGGGTGGGGCTGGGTGGGGGGTGGGAGGGATGTGGCTGGGTGGGGAGGGGCTGGTCACCCCGTGGTGCCCTTAAAAACTCAACGTTTAACCTACTCACGCCGGCTTGTGCCCGCCCTCACAGTCGGCCATATTTGCGGAATACACCACGCCGCCGTTGACCCTGGCCATTGACCGAACAACCCAACGTTCCTACCAGCTCCCTCCGCAGGAATGTGTTTTCTCTATACAAGTTTGATAGAAATTACACAACATTGTAGATTATTATATTTGTAGGGGTGTTACGTGGTGGGAAAACGGGCAGTTACATTGGGGTGTCTACATCCACGTCCGCAAACAGTTACCACCCTGGAGGGCTGTGTGGGGGGGATGCTGTGATCCCACACAGCCCCGCCCCTCGGTGGGAAGTTGGTATATAAGGCGGAGAGCCAGGGAGCTCGAGGCAGTCGTTGGGTACAGGTCAAGATGAAGAACCAGTGAAGACTGAAGGTCAGCTAGCCAGACCTGGAACTCCCCTGACTCGCTGTCCTTGTGAGGGCCGAGCAGGACAAGCCAGTGGTGCGACCTCAGAGCAGCGAGGTCCGATGTCCTTGTAAGGGCCGGACTCGTGTGGCTGAGGGTCGGAACCTGCGCCGAAGCTGGGCCAGGTTAGTTAGCCTCCTAGGAGGAAGGTCTGGAATAGCCAGGAAGTGGGCAGTTAATGTGGGCATTAACTGGGGAGCACTTCTCCTGATAAAGACTGGGTGAAGAGGCCATTACCTCTTCGAGTGTTAGGGTCGTTACCCTGTTGTTAATGTATTAATTTGTAATAAATACGTGTTGCCTCCATCAACTTCTCCTGCGTCACATAAGCCCATTACATATTGACCAAATTCAGAAATATTTTGACGCGTTTAATCACTTCTGATTACATGGAGTGGGTCTAATTTTGACACTTGATGTGAGCTGTGACCACCTGAGCCCGTCTAACCCTGCAACCCACTTCAGCACTGCCATTTTACCCACAACCCAATGCGACCTGACGCACATGCATTAAGATCCACAGCCCGACCTGGACCCACATATTTTTTCAATATCCCTATTTGTTTGGATGCTGTGTGATATTAGCAACGTTAAAGCACTGACTCCCTTTAAATCAATATGATGCACATTCATGACTCTGAAAATAGTATATACTACACAGTGGCTGTTATATAACAGTGTAAAAAGTTGTTTCATATTATATTAGAACGTTTTACTGGCTGGCTGGCCGGCCATATATGTCGCCCAGCATGCATTCTGACTGGGTGGAAGCCCATGTGCCACCCCTTGCGCAGAGAGGAGGGGAAGCCTGGGGGTGGGGGGCATTGTGGGTGCACGGGCAGGAACGGGTGCACGAGGAGAGGGGTGCGGGTTAGGTGGTTATTGGGGGGATATGCAGGTGTTGGGGCAAGCACGAGAGGGGCATACTCAAGGGTGTGGGAGGACCGTCGTTCAACGACGGATACTTTCACTATACAGTAAGTCTTTGTTTAACGCAGTAGATGCGTTCGTAAAAAGTGGCACATTAAGCGAAAAACGCGTTAAGTGAAAAAAATTCCCCATAAATATGAGAAAGTTTGGTAAGATAGGATGTACTACGCACACACAGTAATATGAACAAATAAGTGAGGGTACACTCCCGCATTACTGCTTTAATCCACGTACTGTATCAAATAGCTCAGCCACGCAGCTCAAGAAAGTAGTTCGTCGTCGACTGCTCAGAAACCGCGCTATAACGGACGCATGCCGCGTTATAACGAGCGTTTGTCAACGCTTTGTGCGAAAAGCGTTTTCTCATGGAAAAACTGCGCTATAGCAAAACGCGTTGAATGAACACACGATAAGCAAGGACTTACCATACTGTATTACAGTACATTGAAACATATTGTGGCTGACTAGCTGGAAGAAGGGGGGTGGTCGCAGACTCGATATACATACAGTCCTCGACTTACGAACCGCACGTCCGAACCAGCTAACATGCGATTTTTTTAAAATTCTAAAGTGCGAACTCACACTTGTGAACTATTTTGTTTAGCAGAGCGATCCTCCGCGAGATGTAATGAGTCACAGCATCCCGCTGGGAGTGTGTGAAAGTGAATGTGTGTAAAAGCGAGTGTGTGTGTACGTGTGCATGTGCACGTGACCCCCCCCCCCCCCCCCCGTGTGTGGGGTGTGTTAGTGCATTGGGTAGCACGCTGTGCTACTAACCCGGTGACCTGAGCTCTATTCCCACTCACGACAAATACCAGTGACGATAATCTGAATGGGTCTTGGGTCTCAGCTAGATCAACCCAGCCTGAAATGAGTACCTGGTGCAGTGTGTAAACATCGCCACTGCGGCCGGGCGTGGTGCTGGTCACCCACCCCCTCGTGTGCCGGGCCAGCCTTCATAGGCGCTGCATGCGAACAGCACTTACCCCAACAATCTGTTTAGGCTATATGGGGGATCGTTGTCGTTGTTGTGTGGGTGGATGCGCGCATGTGCCTCTGTGTGTGTGCAATTTTGGGGACTCATTACACCCCTTCCGACAAGTACTGGAGGTAATAAAAATGTAGGTTACTTTATGTTATGTTTTACTATACAGTATTTATTACAATATTACATGAAAATGTATAACATTCGTTGTAAATTTAACAATGCTTTCATAACAGGGATCGTATGTGCATTTAAATGCGTAATAAAGGTTATTTTGGGTTAGACCGCGTAAATATAAATGTGTCGTTAAACCCGCCACCACCCGACTCAGCCAATAAGTAAGGGTTGTCACGTAAACAAGGGTGACATTTAATTACTTCAGCACACCGATATGTTAGAGAGTAAACCCACTGCATTAGAATTCGAGTACGACGTTTTGCTGGTAATTTCAACCAGCCTCTTCAGGCGATTTGTCAGAATTGCGAAGAAGTCTTCCTGTTTTGGTCTTAAGTAGAGTAAAGGTGATGTCATCACTGTCAGATTATCAGGTGCGAATTGGGGTTAATGTAGTCACAATAAATTACAATGGTTCGTGCTAATCTGAGAATATGCAGTACCAATTATTGATCAAAGGCGATGTATAAACATACAATAAAATGATGATTTGGAAGAAAAAAAGTGCTATATTTAGCCTCATTGATCGTGTGGTTTGCACTGAACGAGATGCTGTTTAATCCAGGAAAATAGGTTCTGCTGGTTGGCATTTGGGCTCAGGAAAAAACATGTCGGAAGATCAGGTGTGGCGTTCACAAACTCCAGGACTTGGTATCGACAAGGCTCCATTATTTCAACACACTACGGGACGTCAGGCAAAAACATTAGGAAGCTGCAGTGTTTACAACATTCTTTGGCACATGTCGTGACGGGTACTGCAAGATCCGACCCTCTCCGTCCATTGCTCCCCAAGCTGCATTGGCTTCCGGTTGCGGAACGAATATATGATATGGTTGTGCTCATTACAAAGTTTTTGCTACAAATTAACAATAATACCTTGCTGATCTCGTCAAGGATCATAAACCATCACACAAACTCCGGTCATCTTCGCAGAGGCTTTTGGCCATGTAATATTAGGAAGCCACTGGAGCTATGCACTTTTAAATATAATTTAAAACTAATTTTTTGATAACTGCACCTCCAATTAGTATGGTTGGCTATGTATGGTGCAAAATAAGTTCAACAAATATATACATATATTGTGCATATGGATCCTGCTACCTTGGTACACACACTGCTGAAGCTATGTTGCAACATCAGCCTTGGCCGTTATAATCATCAGGATGGAGGCGACCACGTGGTCGCTCACATAGCACTTGGCTGCATCAGGTCAAGCAGTATACTGGAATCCCTTTTGCCACCACTACATGGAATCGTGCCTCAGATTGGCAAACTTGACATCAGACCAGGGTTAGGGGATAGTTGCGGTGAGTCTGGAGATGGCTGACGGGAGTCCAATCCGGGTGCACATCATCTGATACTGTGGCAGAGGAGTTGTTTATTCTTGATTTTCAGGAACGTTCGACATCAAAATCGTCTCAGAGTGGAGGCTGCCAAGTAAGACTTAGCTGCCCTGGGGAATTTATCATCAGTGTCATGGCTGTTCCCGAGTCTCTGGACATCATACTGCTTAATGGGCTGAAGATTTCCTGGGTATTGAGAAGTAGAGGGCAACTCGTGTGACAACCAGGTGGTGGTCTGTGTTAGAAGGTGCCTCCGCTCCATGGAAAACCCGGTATGATTTAAATATGGTTCTGACCTTGGTCAGGATATGATATATATCTTTAGTAGTGTGACCATAATTTGAGATCCAAGTTTGTCTGTGGATGTTCAGTTTACGATACGATGAGCGGACAACAGTGAGGCCCTCAGATGAGCAGGACAGAAGTCTGGTCGTCTTGTCTTTGGGACTCCTGGAGCCAAAAAGCCCTATGACAGATTCTAAGTCGCTGTGGTTGGTGCCTGTAACGACATTTAATCTCCGAGGGAAGTGACATGTCATGCCTTGATATATAAAGCAGCGAGCCATTTAATTGATCATTGAAGTGGTATTTTTCATAAGGGCTTGACTGTTCAGTTGGTGTATATACAACAACAACCAACAAATATCCTTGTCGATGCAGTATTCTGGCCAGCAAGGTTTGTGGTGAGATGGGTGTCCATGTTACGAGCGATTTGTTGAAAGGGAGCCTAATGAGTGCGACCCCAAAAACGCGATGTTGACCTCCAAAATGCAGGATGGTTGCGCCGTCAATGGTGGCTTGATCACTTCCTGCGAGTCTGTTCTCAATGATATCAGCTGATATGAAATTATATTTGGCCAGTTAGTGTACGATGGACTCCGGAAGTATCCAGTCCCGTTCGTGGTTAGCATATTCCAGACATCAATACAGAATGCTGCTCACAGGTCTGGCTTGACCTTCTTTGGTGTCCTTGCTGCCATCTCCAACGAGAATTTATCTAGAAATTTGAGCTAATTTGTTTTTCATGAATATGTTACTCAAAGTAATATACCTTTAATCGTTGTTAACAGGTTCAATGGTAAGGTAATGATTCCACACTGAGAGATTAACATGTAAGGGTTGAGAGAATCGAGCATAAAATGTGTGTAGATGCTGATTGTTGTCAGCGTTGTAAAATATCAGAACCCCTGCATCATAGTCCAGGCCAACACCAATTCTACGAAGATGTTGACCCACTTGCAGCTCAGTGTATTGTTTGTCATGCCAGGCCCTGTAATTGTTATCATATTTCCGTAAACACCAGGACATGCTGTTTAATCCCATCAGGCATGCACTGTCTCCTCCCTTCCGTGGAATCCTCTCATAAGCGACGCCAACACAAATTTGATCCACATCTCCCACATTTACCACCCAGCAGTGGCACCCTGCAGAGAAGCTCTCAAAGGACAACACGTACGTCCAGTGATCAAACCGATCTGGGTGATCGTTTTTATCCAAGGGGTTGTCAATCCATGATGCTGTCTTGTGATCAGCAGAGATCAGAAGTTGTTTATGTGCCGTGTCTGGATGAAGAGTTGGCGAGCATTTCACTGCAATGAGACCAGTGACACACGTAGACAGACATAACCACAATTACTCTTTGGTTCTTTCGGTAAAGTCACGTAGTTAGAAATAAAATAACCACAATTATTTTTCATATTGGATTGCATATCAAATTAATATCCAACGTTTTCATACATTAATAATACGTTGAAAAATATTGTCTCAGTTTGGAGATTAATAAAGAAACCTATCGTTCGGTATTCAGACTTATTTTATCTGTATTGCATCAACAAAACCATATCTAGAATAAAAGAATACATGAGCAAAAATACGAAATGTTATTAACCATATATTTACGTAATTAACTATATTTTTTCGACTAATCACAGAGAAAAAAACCCATTTCAGATCAGGTCTTTGTATGAGGGGCTGATACCACAGTTGTAATGTTGTAAGGACGGACTTGTAAACTTCTTTATGGCACACACTCTTTATTATCTTAATACACAGTCCCTATCACACAAAGGGGTATATGGTCCCTTCACCCGTTACCCTGAGGAGGTACAGCCTCCGGACCTTGCAGGCTATCTAATCTCCCTGCTCTCCCAGCGTCCTCTGGCTGGACCTAGGGGATCTCTCCCCGACCACTGGTTACTCTGAGCCCTAGCCCTGACAAGGGCTGGAGGGCTTGGTCCAGGGTCCTAGACGTCTTCGGCCGACTTGGGTCTTCGTGTAGCAGAACTCCTCAAGAGCTCTCAGCGCTCTGGCTTTTATACTTGTTCGTGGCCGGGTTGTCCAATCCCCGGCCACCTTGTGGAACCCTCCGATTGGTCCTTCCCAATCTGGCATTTGGATCCTACCTCATCCCATTTGACCCTGACCGTCTGATTTAGCGGGAGAATCTTGTTTACGATCCGCTCTCAGTTTGCGAACAGCGAGTAGTTAACACCACTACACAGTGAAAGAGGCCCAGTTACCCATCAGAGCCCACATACCGGCAGTGTCAAGCAGGGTCTTTAGCTGCGTTCGCTTGTCCTGTCCGGCACGGATCATCTCCAGCAGCCCATTGCACATCTCCTCACCCTCACGAATAGAATATTTAAGTATAAAGATTGCACGTGCTAAGTTGTCAGTAGTTTCGTAAGCCTTCCAGTAAACTGACAACCCAATGTTGTATTTTATATACATCTCATACAAGACAAAGAAGGTGTTTTCAGAGATTGATTTATACACTTCTGGCAGCAACGTGTGCAACTGCCGCCAAACTTCAGCATCACTGGACTTCATTTTCTTCTGGATGAGCATGCGTAGTTCCTGTCCACGCAGAAAGAGGTCACAATGGTAATTTGTTTTAATGTGCTTTTTGGTTCGTTGTAGATTAAACCATTTTTTGCATTATAATTCCTCCAGAGTTGTTAAAATAGAGCACTACTTTATGAAACATTTATAGTTGTTCTGCTCAGGGATAAATGGCCTTGCCATAGTAAAATGGCATTTCCCACAAATGGTTTAGGACCACCCAAGGCATTAAACATTATTTGTGCAGGATCCCACAATTGTTATTAAGGTGATAACTGACTTCTCAAAGGCCTTATTGTACTCTTACTTCACTGACTATTAATCTTAATGTGATAAGACCTTTAGTTCCCCTTGCAAATATTAATTGTATGAACACATGTATCCCCAGCATGATGCCATGTTGTGATTAGGGCTGGATTATCTGATTATATTTTGTCATACAGTAGATTTGTTTTGTCATAGAAAACGCTATCGTTCATTAGATTGGTAATGTAATGAATCAGACAGCACAAATAAGTGTCGGGAAAAAAACCATCTCATTTCTGGTCCCATGTGTGCTGCTGGATGAGAGGTGATGTGTAGCTTGGTGTCATAATTTGCAACAGCCGTGTCACACTAGGTGTGACTTGTAGGGGTCTCACATTTAACATGGAATGTTGTACCAATGTTGGGCCAACGTTGGTCCAACATTGTACTATTACTGGGTTCTCATCTTTCGGAGGAAGGATGTGGGATGGCCACCATTTTTAAAGGACCAATGTAATGAACAACCATAAAAAGTAGTCGATTAGTTATAGATTCATTTAACTTACTTATCATTCCTGTGATTGAATGTGTGACATTGGCGCTTGGAGACCATCTATTGCACATTTATTTTGCGGATTACTTGCTTGGACTGTATTACAAAATGTTAACTATAACATATTTTGGGAAATATAATGATATTTACAATTAATTCTTATGGTGTTGGATAAGGTTTTCAAGGATTATAATTGCATTTATATATATGTAGCTTAAATGCAACAGCATCTCAAAGTGACATATAAATACAATAACATGCAAAACACATCAGAGAAAAAATAGAGCAAGAGAGAGAAAGAAACGTAAAACAATGAGATATTTGTAGGACTTGAGAAAACACGCGTCGGGTTGTGATACGGACACGCGGCAGACAGTAAGGGCAAACGGGGACACAGGGAGTGGGGCGCCACACTGTTGTTATTGTGCCAATTAAGGTGGAAAGGTAATTAAGGGAGGTCTGCAGGTGTTGGGGGTAATCGAGGACGCAGGCCGGTGATTGGACGAGAGGGATTGGTGTCGGGAATTGGCGCCCCCGATGTCTACAATAACAACCGGGAGTTGAGTTGGTTGGTGCCTGGGACAAGAGACGGATAGAGGAAAAGACGGAGCAGCAGACAAGAGAGTATGGTATACGGGAGCAGCAGACAAGAGAGTATGGTATACGGTAGCAGTAGACAAGAGTCTAGTATAAGGTAGCAGTGGGCAGAGAGAGCTAGTAGACGGTAGCAGTGGACAAAGAGAAGACAGAGTATGGTAGCAACGGATAAAGAGAACACAGTATAGGATAGCAGCGGAGTAACGGACCTTGGTGGAGAAGCTACGACGGAGTGAGACGGCAGGGAGAACAAAGAGCGACCGAGCTGGAGAGAGAGGTAGAGCGAGCGAAGCCAGCGGAGCGAGCGAATGGAGAGACATTGAGTGGTGTGGATGGGGAGTTGTGCGTTGAAGAGAATGGAGGGACATTGAGTGATGCCGACGGAGGAGATGTGAACTATACGCGTTAATAAAGAACCGAGAAAGATAAGGAAGCTGTCGCGTCAGTATGAGTCCTACATATTCAAAAGATCCATGGCAGAGGGACATGACGAAGACGGGAACAAAACATTGACCTATGAAAGCACAGTAAGGCAACAGACAACCGAGAGTCCCAGCACCAGCAGACACCCAGGGAAGTCTGGTAAACAAGACGATCGCCTGTGTTGCGATCGACACGTCGTGATATATTATTTTTATTTTATTTTTCTACCTACGTGACTTTACCGAAAGAACCAAAGAGTATGGATCCCTGCAGTCACGAAAGTTCAAATGAAGATTAAGACAGTAAACAAACTCACAACACCACACCACCACATCAAAATTAGCTGTACGATAGTTCTAGGAGACTCTACACACCACAATTAAACAGTAGTAGCTCCAACAAGAGCACAAGTGTTCCTGCGCCGCAATGCCATGTCAGTCAGGCCCCGGGAAAAATTCCCACACTTTGGTGTTATGAGAGCTAGGCCACGGAACATGCTGCTTGACTTACCTCAAGTTCATCGTTGGGAGTCGCCATATGTAGAAGAGGACAAGTCTCGGTCCCCTTTCGAGTAACATCTGTTCGTGTACAAGAAGGCAACGTAACACAAGACCACTAAGTCGCATCTACTGAAATCCTTGCTCATGATGCTGCTGAGAGTGCAATTCCTGCTTTGTGCTGTAATGGCTATGCGACAATCGGGGTAAAGGCGAAAGTGAATCTCAGTTTGTCAGTAAACTACAATAAACTACTGTTGTAGAAAATGATTGGAAGGCACATGATCATAGTGGTAGTATAGGTGGAAGATTATACGTGATGTTTACTGTCCACTGAAATTTACAATTGTGCAGCAATTACTTTTCATAAATGCTTCACGCAGGGCCACGAAAATCTGTTGTGCATGATGCAAATGCTTGTCAATAAAGAATATGACTAACATCTTGACAAATATTCATTTATAGGAAAACCTCGCCGAACGTGGCAGTTACATTCCTGGAAAGTGCCGTGTTGGACAAAACCATGTTCGATGAATAGACCTTATTGAAAATAACTAATTCTACATTACATCCACCCTTGTTATTGTAATAAAGAATGCTGAGTCGCTCTCCATTTCTTGTGTGTACACTCTTTGAGTTTCACCTCAACACAAAACCTCCGTCTCCATTACTCTTCCCCACACAGCGGCACTCACAATCAATGCTCTCCCCTGATGTTGAATTGCCAGCCTGATGCTTGCCCATAACACTGCCACTTTAACGTTAATGATCCGTAATCTAGGCGTCCGTATGACTGAAGACCTCAATGAATGGACATTTAGATGCGTGTGCAATGTGTCAACATTTGCGTTGTGCGTGAGCGTGTTGAGTCGTACATTATCACAACAATAAAACAATGGCGAAAACATGCATGGTAAATAAATCGTTCTCACATGTGATTCATTCACATTAGAATGCCTTCCTAAGAAAGCCTAACAACTACACTTTTTGCACTAAAGTCATCAATTTTCTTTGCTTATTCTCACTTCTTTGCTTATTCTCACCACCACTCAACGTATGCTTAGTGACCATGATTAAAAAGTGAGAACGCATGAGAGTGTTTAGCAGGCAAGATGGCGATGAGATATTCATACGCAGCATCTACAATACAGTTTCATATAGCTGAAACATCGCCTCTGTGTTCTGAAAAATAGAGCTGATTCAGTAACCCATGTATATCCGAAACACCATGTATAGTGGTCGAAAAAAACACATTCGTCAAGGTTTTCCTGCGTTTCAGATTTATTTTGGAAAATGCACCAATATCTCTATTATTAGCAATGTGGAAAATCGCCAAGGTGAGGCGTTTCAGTTGCTTCATAAAGAGGAAATGTTGTCCCTAAATGTGTAGCAGATGTTTGGATCATAGCATTATGTTGTACACGGTGGCCATCAATTCCTTTGCATGTGTTGCCCTCCATTCACAGCACACAACTGGATTATGCCCAAGTTCTCCTTTACAGATTTTTCCAAGTGGATGACTGCATACTGTAAAATAAATTATGCACAGCTGTTTAAAACTCCTCAATATTTGTCAAGCCATAGTATGAGGTATTCAATTCTCGTTGATAATTCCCCAAAGATAATTATTATCACAAGTTGTCAGGTCTGGGCTTCGGATCAGCGACATCATATCAGATCCTCTCCTAATCCATTGTCCACTGAATTTGGGAATCAAATATTCCTGAATTGCGAGGGCATAATGTGCTGGAGAACAATATTTCATGCAAAGTGATGGTGTGGTTATCATGCAGATGAGCTAGTGGACAACTCCAGTAACTTGATCAATTTAAAAAATTCTGCCAGTGAATGTTCAAAGCTGGCAGTGCCACACTAAGAGATTGAAGTTTTGGTGACCACATTCGCATTTTGGAATATATATCTTTTTTATCGGTATAAAAGGTGGCCACGTCGGCCTTTTCATGTCCTGATGCAGTTCAATTGAGGCCATCTCTTTGCGGGGTAAATTGTGAATTGGTTGGTTTGGGTTGGTCATAATGTGTGTATCATGTATGTCAGTATGTTGACCTTGCATGAGCGAAATCATCTCCAAAAATGTGTTTTCTAACTACATTTCTGCATAGTTTGATTTTAGACATTGCCCAAATTCTTTCAGGTTTTCATGACATACACTTGCAAGTATTCCAATTAATCTACAGCCCTGATTTGTTATCTAATGAGTTACGATTGGGCCACTCATGGATTCATCGGAAGCATTGTCCCATTACTAAACAATTACACAGATTAGATAAAAGTTTATGATGTTACTTACTAAAGGGGTATCGGTGTGTCTTCTTCCGATACATCACTATGCCCAACACCACCGCCATCAGGACAACGAAGGTCACAATCCCAGCAGGAATTAAAATGGTTTGTTCTGCAGGTGACAAATTATAGAGGACACAAACATTCAGTAGCATATACATTGACATTTTCACTAACATTTGAAGCCATTTGTACATCACCACCTGAATGTATCTTACGTTGACACCTTTGCCTTTTCTTTTTCAGGAGCATGTGTTTCAGCAGCAAAATATTAAATGAATTCTACTTTCTAAAAGTTTCAACAGCAGAGTGTGGCCCATTATGCTCCTGGATTTCCAGATGTAATTGACAAGAGCTCTCAATGAACATCGTGGCAACCGTTCAATACCGCACTATATTAGCCTTGTTGTGGTGATTTATAGGTAATAAAGTAAATATAAATCAACTACACAAACAAAAGTCTTCTGAACCAATACCGTATACAGGTAGTCTTCTACTTACGATGGAGATGCGTTACGACGACCCCAACGTAAGTCGAAAATATCGTAAGTCGAAGATGGCCTCGCCTACCCGGGAGTCTTAAAGAATGATGATAATTTAGCAAAACAGAGCAATTTACAGTAGCGTACTTTATAAACTATATATTGTATGTATTAATTACAATACAGTATTGCACAGTAAAATGTAAAGTAAAAAAACCAAGGTACATTCTTAGCCTACCTATATGAACTGCAGGAAACAATCCTGTCTGCTATAAAAAAAACTTTTAACATGCATTGCACGTATCGTATCGTGGTAACCTTAACATTAAATCGCTAAAGCTACGTATCATACAGGCATTGAACGTATCGTAACGTATCATATTGTACTGTATCAACCAAGATTCTGTCCGTCGTCTGCACACTTGAACGATGTTAGGTTGTTGATGGCGACATTAACTTAGTTGTCGGAAGAGGAGGATGGCGATGATAAAGTGCAGTATCGTACCTCGTACGCTGCTGCGTTTGCCTGCCGCGCGAAATGTAAAATAGCTTACAATTTTGTCATATCGATATCGCCATCGTAAGATCGAAATATCTTAAGTCGGACCGTCGTAACTCGGGGACTACCTGTATTTAGAAATATTTTAATGTGTGCATGCTCCTAGTGGACAGCAGGGGACAGTGCAGCACAATCCATTGTGGTTCTGTACTTAATATGCCCCAATTATCTCTTGGCTTCAATCCACGCTAACTCCAATTTATTTTTCCTAATTTCTTCCTGCTGAAAGTGGAATGTCGCAGCCATGGTATATTTGATGGGGTAGTTGCCGATGACCAAATATATTCCTCCTTTTTTGCTGATTGTGCAACACCAAGCTTCAAAAAGGCTTGACGCTTTTGTAGCAATGGATCTGTGCATACACGTGTATTTAATGTGTGGCATGTCACATAAGAACTGAAAAATGATGGCGCAAGCACAGAGCTCTATCTGGTCTCTGAGAAAATACTCAGAACAGCCCTACTGACGAGACTTTTATCACATCCAATATGCGTATATTACTTAAAATTACAAGTTCATGCAATATCCTTAAATCAAATGTATGTTATGCTATTAATATATTGTACATTTATACTTGTAACATGCACAGTATTCACTCTCGAAGAGAGAGAACGACTCAGAGGTGCGAGGAACCACAAAATGGGAAGCCAGCCGGCATTAATAAAACAAGCTCTGTGTTCTCTATAGAACACGTTCCTTTGGAGTGGTCAGGTAGGAACATGGTTGGACAGCGCATTCGTGCACGACAGACAGACAAATAATCCCTGGAGGGCAAGTGTGGAACCTGTTGTTCCTACCTGTATGTATAAAAGATAACTTGACTTAAGGTAGCCAGACAGACAGCCCCCTTAACTATCGCCTCCTTTCTCCCTTAGGCCCCTCCCCTGACCCCCCTTCCCTTAGGCCCCTCCCCTGAATACACCCCCCCATATCCTTAGGCCCCTCCCCTGACCCCCCCCTTAGGCCCCTCCCCTGACCCCCCCTCCCTCAGGCCCCTCCGCTGACCCCCCCCCCCCTCAGGCCCCTCTCCTGACTCCCCCCTTCCTTAGGCCCCTCCCCTGACCCTCCTCCCTTAGGCACCTCCCCTCTCCGTACCCGGCAGTAGGTCTCCACCAATCAAAGAGCTGTTAAAGTTATATATTTATTTATGCACGACAGACAGTCAGACAGACAGACAAAAAATCCCTGGTGGGCAGTGTGGAACATTGTTCCTACCTGTAAAAAAGCTCTGTGTTCTCTATAGATGAGTGTGTACTGCTTTCTGCAGGTAAACCAGGGTATGGCACCTTGATGCCCTCGAGAAGAGAGTTTCAGTATTTTTAAAATCCACCAACCCTCACCTCCAGTGCAGGATTATAGGCATGCGCCACCACATTTCATTGGAGATGTTGGTAACAATGGCTATAGAGAGGGATACAAAAAATCTCACCTGTGTTTAGTTTGACTGCACAATGCTGCGAAGGACGAACCCGATTGTATCCATCCTTGCACCGACACACGGTGTCACTAGTGGGAGTGCAGTCCTGTTGAACATCTTCATCTACGCAGCAGTGAACAAAAATATGTATTTTTCAGTCGTGTGTTTAACCTACAAATATATTTGTCTTGCAATATATTTCACGGGGCTCTGTCAAAATTGATAGACAAGTGAAAATCGAGTAACATACTATCAGCTATCTTCTTGGTTCTTTCGGTAAAGTCACATAGAAGGGAAATAATAAAATAATACAAATAAAACAATAAAATAATTCTCACGACGTTTCGGCTACAACGCAAGCAGCCATCCTCAGGTGAAGAATGAAACACCACCAAGCTTGGAGCGTATATTTAAGCTGGGTTGGAGGGGGAAGAAGAGCGCCTTGCATATCAAGAGGAATTTAGCATATTTATGATAAATGCGTAGGAGGTGGGTGGGGGGTTTCAAAGTCATATTATGCCCGTGCATTATGCAGGATTAGCAGCATCAAAGGGAGGGGATAGGGGGTAGCATTAACAAAGGGAAGGAATGTTAATAGTATGTAGCTGCAGTTACTAAACCACCACGTAAAAAACTAAAGTATAAACTACATAGTATTATCAGTATACTAAATATACTCTCCAATAAGCTGAGCTACTAACAGAAAGTAATACATTACAATTCTATGTCGCAAAAAATATAATATGCTTCCAGCTACTTTAATTAATCTTAATAAATAATACAACAAAATTCATGACATTAAACAATAGCCATTTAAATTCAACATGTATTAGAACACTGTAACGTCAACAATCTCTTCAAGCAACGTGTGTCACTACTTTCTCAATCATTAGCCCTATTAATCAATTACGACTTTACGCTCATAATAATGTCATCAAAACCCCAGCTTTAACTAACACAATACATCTGAATATAATTAAGGAAGGCCTATTTTCACCAACCACTAAATTAATCTAACCCGCCAATAGCAAACCAATGAACCAACAATCAATTCTAATGATGCATGGCTCTTCTGACGATGTCAGGCCCCGAAGCTAGAAGCTATTTGAGTGTAACCTGGTCGATTATGTTAATGATTAAACGGCGCATATAATCGTGCCCCCTTACCGACGAGGCTTAAGAGAATCGCAGCTAAGGAAGAGCGATCACGTAATGGCTGCGTGGTTGACTCGGTACGCGATCGGCCTTGACAGCTCTCTGGGGTATCTTCCATTCCCTAAGATGCACATGGCTTGCTGTTGAGAACCAGGCAGTCATAGAACATGAACGGCGGAGGCAGCCAATGGGAGATGGGAGAGTTGTTCACGACCGAATTGCGTGACTGAGAAGCATCATGCTGAAGGCTTTGACAACAGTTGTCGATGCTGTTGGCGCCCGTCTGGTGTGCAAATCAAGGTTACAGTTCTACACCAGCTGTTGGAAGTTCCCGGTGTGTGTGTTTTAGAGTATTTGGTTGCTATAAATGTCCACGTGATAAGCCACTTCGTTGAGCCATCATTTATGGCCAGGTCACTTCCGAAAAATAGCTATGTAGCTCAGATGGGTCTGACCTGGTGACATAAACGTTTTTTTTTTAGTGTGGCCCCAAGAGAATGAGTGCGTGTGCTGCAGAGGTGGCAAGAAACATAGGGGCGCAATAAAACGCGGGACTACTACCAAAAAGACATTGAATGAAATAGCCACCCCCATGGGCGCTGAAGATCACGGCCAAGAAGAGTGAGGCGTAGTGGGCACTGCTTAGAGGGGAGCTGAGCCTTTGACACCTAATGATCAGTGCCGGATTAAACTTGTGCGGGGCCTGTAGCATATGTTATAAAGGGGCCCTAAATAAAAAAAACACGTAAATATTAAAACACATTTTTATTTTAATTGCATAGGAAAGCAATTGTATTTTTTCATTTGCTATACAGCCAGATAATACGACAAACCGCTAATCTTAAACATCCAGTCGTTTGGAAAAGTTGAAGGCGGTATAGTACTATAGTAATAGAGCAAGTGCAGAATCACTGAACCGGAATTGATAGCTTGAAAGCGTTTAGCGCGGGCCCTTAAATGTTCGGGGTCTGTAGCAATTGTTACTACGATAATCCGGCACTGCTAATGATGCTGGATGGAATCTCCAGTGAAACGCCATTGCATTGTCAACATTTTGCTTGTGCAATGATCGGGTTGTAGAGGTTTGGATTGTTCTCACGTGTGTGGATTGTGCACGTGATGGGGGGGGGGGGGATGTCTCCGGAGTGGTTTAGGTGCACGTGTGGCGATCTTCGCGAGTGCTGGATTAGCGAGTTTCGCTAACTCGTGAGGAATTCCCTCCTATACATTTTGGTATAAACGAGTCGACTGTGAGGTCCATTAAAAATAACGCGAAATGTAATCAGGGAAAGTGCTGCGGCTAGCGCTCCCCAGAGTACTGGAATTATAACTGTGCGTTGTTCTCAAACACCTGCATCTCCTGAAGAGTCATCCTCCTAAATTCCTCACCATCACCACCACCACTGTCATCAAATCATCATCAAAGGTTATTAGGACACGTTGTTCTATATCATTCATTATATATGTATTGTAGTAATTAATATCAAAGATTTAGCATTTCACTACCGATGTTCATTCGTACCAGGAACATAACCCCATTTTTGTTCTCATTGGAACAAGGCTTCTCCATTCGCGTGCGTTTTCAAGAACGTAACCCTCGCCGATAGAGGGTTTACTGTATAAGTGTGGAGCATGAGAAATTAATCGGGAGCGCTGGCTGGGGGAGGCTGGGTTCCTGATTGTGCTGCTCAAGTCGAGTGTGTGTTATGTTTGAATAAAATCTTGGGATTTGAAAATAATGGAAGGCGATTGCTGGACACATTAGACCTTGCTTTTGAACATTGTAGTTTTCTGAAAAAAAAAACAAATGTATTGGCATATTTGTCCATGTGACAACCTCATTTGATTGGCTCTTTTGGGAGGTTGCAGGTTGTAGTAAAACAAATTGGACATACCCCCCTTATGCTTATCCTAATCCAAAATAAACTAATTATGAATCTTATTGATCGTGAAGCCTACGTATAAAATTCACAAATGTTTAATCTCGTTAAAAATAATGCTCCTACTACTACATAAACGTGTAAAACAAATTTGTTTAGACCAGTTTAAACCCTCTCATTTACTAAACATTTTATTCTGAGCATTTGGTTTTCTCTGATATGACATAAACCAAATCAACCGATCCTTTGTCTACATGGGGACTAAAAAGATCAGTTAATGTGTAGAACAGATCTGACAACATAATTCTTTCTACCTAATGAGCCCAACTGACTAATTTCACCATGAATTTCCCACTCCATTCCTCACTGCCTATATATCGTTATCTCTATTCTTTGACACTTATACACATGGAACCGACTGATGTGGAGCTCTTACAGAGTATATTGCAGGTGCTGCACTTTTTGCATGCAGGATCGCGGTTTTCGACGTCCATGTAGTCCTTCCCTTGCACACAAGTTGTGCAGAGAGAATGATCGCCATCGGAATCGCAGTCATAAAGCAACCTACTTCCTGTGAAATGGGAAAGTTCAAGAAACAAGGTGGTCGTAAAACGTTCGTCTAATTTTATTTCATCTCCGATAAGTTGTTCAATGTGGATACATTTCTAATTGATGACAGGTTTTTTTTCTGCAAGGAATATTACTTCAAGAAAATTGTTATTCATTGCATTTTAAATTGACACCATGGCCTGTTGTCATGAATTATCCCAGGCTCTTAAATGTTTCCTTTATCGGAAAAAGGAGCGTGTCAGTAAATATGGGCATTCCTGCACAGCTGAGAACTGCACAGCTGACAAAATCTAACGGAGCCCAGTGGTGCTTGTAATATACTTTAGGCTGCCCAGCTCCTTAATATAAATGCTCTGTTGCAAGTGTAATGTGAGGGTATATCCGGGTGGTTGATTGATCACACCTCGTTACGATGATTGGCTCTACCGGTCCTGGCCCATAGCCAATGGGGAGAGGTCTAGGGGCGTGGCCCTGACATAATGGGAAGGTGACATCTGGGAGGAGATGATTGGATCTGCTGGCTTTAGCCACAGCCAATGGGGCGACGAGTCAGGGGCGTGGTCCTGGGATCGCAGGATGGAATCTGGAAGATTCCATGGAGGTTAACCAGGACTGGTGGAAAGGTACCACGTGACCCGGGTATTAAAAGGGGTGGAGACGGGCAACACGTGTTCAGATCTGGAACGAACGAAGGGTGAGGCCACGCTGGAGCAGGGTCCAGGCTGCCACATGGCCGCGCGTGTCTCTCTCACGCTGTCTGTTAACAGCGTGAAGGAGTAAGACAGGAGTGGAATTTATATGAGGAAAGTTGTGAACTAAAGACAAATAAAGACCCTGATTCCAGAAGTCGCTTCCACGACCTTTATTACACAAGCATTGCCATGATTGTATATGTCATGTTCCTTGCAGACACGACCATCACTTGCTTCTGTTGTCTATCTAAGGGGCCGTACATAAATGACGTCACGCGATTTTGGACGATTTTTGATCCCCCCCCCCTCGTCACATGGCGTCACAAAAAGTCAGACCCCCCCCCTCAAATATGACGTCACAAAGCTCTGCCCCCCCCCCAAAAGAATGAAACATGCTTCAAATCGCTTTCAACTATTGTCATTGTAGTACGTATTTAATGTGGCGCTGCACGCTGATGTTGTAAGAGAAAACATTTATTAAAAAGTCTATTTAATTAAGTAGAACGTGTTGTCTATATTTTAAGTTGCGCATTTTGATGTGACGTCACATTTCTCAACACCCCCCCCCCATCACACATCGTCACAGATGTCTGACCCCCCCCCCCCCCCCCAGGTGCGTGACGTCATTTATGGATGGCCCCTAAGGTGCAGATACATACCAAAAAAAACCATACTTCTACAAACTGAAGGTTGGTCACATGCAACACTGTTAGTCACAACGTGTGACTGTTTTGCTTGATTACCTGCAGGACAAAGTTGACAGCAAAACCCTTTCGCGGCATTGTATTGTCCTTTCTCTTCACATGCATTATTTTCAACCTGCATGTGAAATTGAAGTAGAACAGTGAACGCATAAATACACACGTGCACGATTTAACAATACAGTGAGGGAAAAAAGTATTTGATCCCCTGCTGATTTTGTACGTTTGCCCACTGACGAAAAAATGATCAGTCTATAATTTTAATGGTAGGTTTATTTGAACAGTGAGAGACAGAATAACAACAAAAAATCCAGAAAAACGCATGTCAAAAATGTTATAAATTTATTTGCATTTTAATGAGGAAAATAAGTATTTGACCCCCTCTCAATCAGAGAGATTTCTGGCTCCCAGATGTCTTTAATACAGGTAACGAGCTGAGATTAGGAGCACACTCTTAAAGGGAGTGCTCCTAATCTCAGCTTGTTACCTGTGTAATAAAAGACACTTCTGGTCTCCGCTTGTCTTTTATTCAGGTTCTTCTCTGCACCCCGCTGGTCTCCTCCTTGGACCAGCGTCGTCTCTCGCGCGCGCCCCGCCCACGCTCCCTCTCGCGTGCCACGCATGCTCCTCCGTTAGCTCCTCTACTCCCGCACTCCGCACACCGCTGGCCGACGGCGTGTTGAGGTCCTTCGGCCACGTGGCCGATGGCGCGGATCTCTCTCACCACTCACGTGGCTCAGACTCTTAACTTCCCCCGACTGCCCCGATCTCTTCCGGGCTCCCACTTATATCCATTCCCCCCACGTGACCCTGACTCCTCCCCTTCCGGATCGTCAGATCCGGCCTTCCCATACTACCCCGCTGGCTCCGCCCCCATTCACCTCGCCTCCCATTGGAGCCGAGGTGAATGGTGGCCCCTCCCACACGCCCCGCAGACCAGGCTCCGCCCCCCAATACCCCGGGCCGTGTGATTGGACCAGAGCCCAGCAACAACCCCATTTACGCTCACATTACACCTGTATAAATGACACCTGTACACAGAAGCAATCAATCAATCAGATTCCAAACTCTCCACCATGGTCAAGACCAAAGAGCTCTCCAAGGATGTCAGGGACAAGATTGTAGACCTACACAAGGCTGGAATGGGCTACAAGTCCATCGCCAAGCAGCTTGGTGAGAAGGTGACAACAGTTGGTGCGATTATTCGCAAATGGAAGAAACACAAAAGAACTGTCAATCTCCCTCGGCCTGGGGCTCCATGCAATATCTCACCTCGTGGAGTTGCAATGATCATGAGAACGGTGAGGAATCAGCCCAGAACTACACGGGAGGATCTTGTCAATGACCTCAAGGCAGCTGGGACAATATTCACCAAGAAAACAGTTGGTAACACACTACGCTGTGAAGGACTGAAATCCTGCAGCGCCCGCAAGGTCCCCCTGCTCAAGAAAGCACATATACATGCCCGTCTGAAGTTTGCCAATGAACATCTGAATGATTCAGAGGACAACTGGGTGAAAGTGTTTTGGTCAGATGAGACCAAATGGAGCTCTTTGGCATCAACTCAACTCGCCGTGTTTGGAGGAGGAGGAATGCTGCCTATGACCCCAAGAACACCATCCCCACCGTCAAACATGGAGGTGGAAACATTATGCTTTGGGGGTGTTTTTCTGCTCAGGGGACAGGACAACTTCACCGCATCAAAGGGACGATGGACGGGGCCATGTACCGTCAAATCTTTGGTGAGAACCTCCTTCCCTCAGCCAGGGCATTGAAAATGGGTCGTGGATGGGTATTCCAGCATGACAATGACCCAAAACACACGGCCAAGGCAACAAAGGAGTGGCTCAAGAATAAGCACATTAAGGTCCTGGAGTGGCCTAGCCAGTCTCCAGACCTTAATCCCATAGAACATCTGTGGAGGGAGCTGAAGGTTCGAGTTGCCAAACGTCAGCCTCTAAACCTTAATGACTTGGAGAAGATCTGCAAAGAGGAGTGGGACAAAATCCCTCCTGAGGTGTGTGCAAACCAGGTGGCCAACTACAAGAAACGTCTGACCTCTGTGATTGCCAACAAGGGTTTTGCCACCAAGTACTAAGTCATGTTTTGCAGAGGGGTCAAATACTTATTTCCCTCATTAAAATGCAAATCAATTTATAAAATTTTTGACATGCGTTTTTCTGGATTTTTTTTATGTTATTCTGTCTCTCACTGTTCAAATAAACCTACCATTAAAATTATAGACTGATCATTTCTTTGTCAGTGGGCAAACGTACGAAATCAGCAGGGGATCAAATACCCCTGCGATTCCATGTCTTGTGATGATTCATGGTAAAAGAATAAAACTTTTCAGCGAATTAGTTTTTAATGCTTGTAAAGCCTGGTTAGCTATGTTACACGTATACCGTCTCCATTGCACTCTATGTTGTTTTGAGCATTTGCACTGTGTTTTGTTTGTACTTGGTTGCACCTCCGAATAGCACGTACTGTGCGAAAGAAGTTCAACATACATCCTCCTGTGCTACTTGGTCGTGTCTTCACGAGAAAAGTGTAGCCTGATAGCTGAGGTGCCTGGCTCGTTTTAAAAAAATACATCAGACGGATTCCTGTCGACACACCGGCGCTCTCAGCATCGCTATACAAGACCTGGCAGGGTCTGGAAACGGCTCCGTCGGCCAAGATACAACTGGCTGAGGCAGGTCGAGACTGAACTGACTTGGATGGCTGCAACGGACAAAGTCAACGCAAAGGGCACTGCAACCCCGTATTGGTCAAATGTATCAGTGAGTGAATTGATGGGTTCATCACACAGAGGGAAGGGAGAATTTTATTTATATAATTTTTTTAATGTTTCCTGCACCATGATTCGATGCATTATAGAGCTAAAATCATGGTTCTATAATTCTAGATTTGAAGCTTTCGTGACTGCAAGGATTCATATTCTTAGGTTTTTTCGGTAAAGTCTACGTGACTTTACCGAAAAAACCTAAGAATATATAAATGGTTCTATAGTTTGGGTAACCAAAGGTGTAAATCTAAATACAAATTAACCTTCCCCCCCCCCCCGGAAAATGTAAACCACCAAAATGTAAACACATTTGTGTTGTGTTAATGTCTATCGTGCAAAATATTTCATTATCAAAAGTCACATCATTGCATTAGTTCCTGTTCCCATAAGGTTAACTTTATGGGTTATTTAACCAGCCTATCGTCCAAATTATTCACCACACTTGCTACAATAATAGAGTTTAGAGTGGAGGAGAGGCACCAAGTTTACATTTCTTAAGACTTTTAAACATCTGTAGATTACTCATTAATTACTATAATAAAAAATCTATTTGTAAGCACACATGGCCCGTAATGGTATGGTAGCAATAACGCGTCTGTGCCCGGTGTCAATAACGTTATTAAAATCCCATCGCGTTATGTGCAATTGGTATCGGTTAAAAAAAGCAGTGATTACCGCACTGAGCTACGAATCTGGCTCCACAAGTCGCAAACATCTGAACCGGCCCTGGGACTCTCCAAGGTAGACTCAGTTTTGATATGAGTACTACTCCTCAAATCCTGTGCTGGCCTAAGTGCTTGCTAACAGTGCTTCCCCAACAGCTTGCTAAAGGCTATGTGGGGGATATTTTCTTTGGCACAAATACAGTCGAGTATTACCACGACGCATTGTGTGAATTGTTTAAATGTTAAAGCATGTTTTTTATTTTAATGTTATGTTTGGCTGATTTTTTATCAAAACATATTTGTATGTTTTACCACAAGTATGTGTGGTTAATGCAGACTCGATGCCTTGTAATAGGTGTTTATTTGGTGTTTGAACATCTTCTTAACACCTATATTCTTGCCAGAAAGGGAAACGTCTATTTTTTCATCTTAATTTTGTACTATGCCACAATATGTGCCCAAACTAAAGTAATTGATAGTGATTGGGGGTTGTGCTTGACATATTTCCTTCTTGCCACGAATAAACACACTCCTTTGCTGCTACTACTGCTTCTGCCTGTCATGCAACAACTACATACGGAAACAATGTGATATCCTAATGATTGTGATTTCCTGGCTTTGAAAAGTTAGTTTTATTTTTTACGTAGTTTTTTTATACCTACAGCTAATAATCATAAGATTTAACTATATATCTTGTTACCTGCCTTGCAGGTACATTAGTTAACTGAAGATTATGTTCTTTGTTGATGTCTCGGGGTTTTCTCCTTATATTTTTTCATAGAAATATTGTGTAAGGTGCCTTCAGACATTAGTGGAAGGCACCTTACAAATAAATGTAAATTTTAATTTATAGATGTTAGATTGCGATGAATATACCTCGTGCCTTCGATGCTGCTTCTTGCCCAAAACTAATATTTTTGCTAATCCAATAATACTTATTTGTGTATGCTAAATGCGTCAGTAGTATCGTGTACTCGTGTTTTGAATATGGTGGGTGCATTATTTTGCTCCGTGCTTTATCACCTCTATTGCTGGTTTTTGTAATTTTACTGGAAATCCATAAAAAATGGACACTGTAACTTGCAACAAAACTCCTATTACCATCCTTTAAGAGAAAAAAGGCAATCAAATATGACCCCAGGAACAGTTATGGAGATTTTCTAAGAGTTTCTGAGGCCTTGTAGTTAGAGAACCTCTCAGTCCAAACAACATTATAGGTCAAAAGGGTGTTGACCTGGAGACGATTGTGAAGCCTCGAAGGATGGCGAAAAGAAACATTCATATCATTTTACAAGTACGGTGAAAAATGGAGGTGTAATAAACGCACGCACCGAAGTGGGGAGAGATCTATTTAGTTTATAAGCCATCTGAAACATGAATAGCAAGAAAAAAACCAGTCAAGGCTGAAGGAGCAGCCAAAGAGAATGAAAGACCCTTCTCCCATCGTGTGGGAAACGTTCACAGCAGGCTTGAGAAAGAAGGCAGTATTTTTTTATGTAGACATTTAGAACAACACAATATACGTAGCAACCTCCCAATTGAGTGTTACTGAAGAGCAACTGAGAAAAAACACATGGGCAGTTCAGAGAGAGGAGGCAATGCTGTGGACACTATGCGAGCAGCATAGGGGAAAGAATATGGGAATATGGGATGTGAGAGGCAATATTCGATCAAGGAAGACATTAGGAGCAGCGGAGAAGTAGAACGCGACCTCCCCATGTGTGTACAAAGTGCTATTGTAAATATACATGAAAATGCACACTTACCATTGCGATGAACGTTAAAAAGATGATGCCAGAGATCAAGCCCATTGCTATCCCTTGTTTTGTCTGCATCGTTACAAGCTCTGTATCAAAATGAGGTGACGGGAGCACGAACCTAACGATGAATATCGCTGTTGTGCTGCTTTTGCTTTAGAGAACGTCACTGTAAAATACAGCACATACCCCTCGTGACCCTTAAACATTCGTACAGAAAACCCCCCAGCTGGACTACCAATGGCTTTTAAAACGTTGTTGCTATCAAAAGTACAAGTACACAGATAGATTTACTCCGCAGGTTTAAATCTAGATTGAAAACGCGTTTGTTTACAACACTTTTTTCTCGGCGTAGTTTGTTGTCCTCCCTCCGAATGGCACGGTCGGCGATGCGCGGTATGAAATAAGTTCAAAATATCATTACAATTATCAACTAAGGATCATCCAGTGAGCTAGAAACTCGGCAACGCCGCGGTGTCCTTCGCGGCTTGCTTCCACTGATGCGCGATCCGGTATGATGCCAGAGCAGTGGCTCACCTGGAAATGCGTTCTACCTGCATGCAAATAGGACCCGTCTCGTTGAGGATGCGAGCTGCATTCCGTGCACTTTGTCACCACACCTACATTTGTTTTTGTTGTTGACTGCTTACACTGTAAATTACACTGTGCTTTTGATTGACAGTGTAGATAACACCGTGCTAGATGTCGATTTAAATGTACGACACTTATGTATTACACTGTAGACTATGCTGTGCGACAGATTACACTAGACTGCACTGTGCTATATATTACGCTTTAGACTACAAGTGTGATATAAATAACACTGCAGAGGGCAGTGCAGCAATACAAAGTGCAATAATTGAACCTTATGGCGGTTACCCCGGGGTAATGTCCGTGATGCAGTCATTTTTAGTCTGTTGATGGTCGGCGATGCGACAATCGACTCATCTCGACGAGCTGTACACGATGCACCACCACGGTGCGTACCGCGAGCGTTCAGGGATTCAGCGCAATCGTCCTCGCTGCGTTTCGGCGTAGCGGAGTAGCACCACCGATATCGGATTGATTGGTACCCCAGTCGCGGAGTGAAGTAACACCCCTGGAAAAAATAGTGTCCCAGAAATAACATATTTAATTGCCTCGGCTATTTTGTAATATTTGTTACCCATAAGGATCAATTGCACTGCGCTATGCTCCCATTCTTCAGCAACCCACAATAACCAGGGTGGTGAAGTAAGGTCAAATCATCTGCACGACCTGCGTAGCCGTTCACCTGGCAGTGGATTGGCAAAAAGGGCTGTGCATGTACGTGTTCGTACCGATTACATTTCCATATAAGGGGCCGTCTATAAATGACATCACACACCTGGGGGGGGGTCAGACATTTGTGACGATGTGTGACGGGGGGGGGAGAAATGTGACGTCACATCAAAATGCGCAACTTTAAATAAATATAGACAACACGTTCTACTTAATTAAATAGACTTTTTAATTTTTTCTCCTACAACATTAGAGTGCCACGCCACATTAAATACGCACTAAAATGATAATAGTTGAAAGCGATTTGAAGCATGTTTTATTTGGGGGGGGGCAGATCTTTGTGACGTCATAGTTGAGGGGGGGAGGTCAAAAAACGTCATTTATGGACGGCCTCGAAGCAACGTTTGAGGTGTGTCCTGGCCGTAGGGGTGTGACTTTTGCTTTCTTCCGCCACGAATAATCGAATACAGGCAACGCATAAAAAAATATGGAATGGGCCAAATGTGCCAACTCGCTACACACAAGAACCCCGTTGAATCACAGCTGTCTGAGACCTGGATTTTAACCCAAGAAACTCAGCAGTGCCGCCCAGCCACCTCTCAAAGCAATGTTACGCGATGGTATTTTGTGTAGCCACAAAATACCGAGGCCACCAACTCACACTTCAGAATATAGGAAATCCACTTTTCATTTTGTACTAGAGCCTGGATTCCCCATGGGCCATGGTTTATTTTCATTGTCATGATATTGGCAGAGGAACCTCGGCAGACCCCAACCACAGCGGAGGGAGAAGCCCCAATGTGTAGTGGCTCACAACATTAAACTTGAAACGTTTGAAGGTACAGTTGGTAAAGGTGTACGTTAACAAGTGTGTGTGTGTGTGTGCAGTCAGAGTTTCAGTGTTCATCATCTTAAGTCTTTATTTGGGTGACGGATGAGGAACCTACGATCCAGCCCACAACTTAATATCACATGGCCTAAGGCCACATGAGGTTTACCACTTTGAAATGACCCAATAACAATATTTGTCACTCAGTATCTCAGCTTCACTTATTTGGTATTAGAAGGAATTATAATGGTAGGAACCTCCTGGTTACAGGATTATAATGGTGGGGAGGAGAGGGGCTGGGTGGGGAAGGTGGGGCAGGGTGGGGGGTGGGAGGGGTGGGGCTTGGTGGGGAGGGGCTGGTCACCCCGTGGTGCCCTTATAAAACTCAACGTTTAACCTACTCACGCCAGCTTATGCCCACCCTCACAGTCGGGCATATTTGCGGAATACACCACGCCGCCGTTGACCCTGGCCATTGACCGAGCAACCCAACGTTCCTACCAGCTCCCTCCGCAGGAATGTGTTTTTCAACTCGACACAACTATGTTGATAGCACGCCCAGTCACTTCCGTCACTTTTTTGTGCTCGTGTAGCGACAGAAGGGATTGAGGTGTGCATGTTAATGTGTATCTCGCCAAGATGTGTAGGCACGTGAGCGTATATGTGAGTGTTTAGTTTCATTTAGTTTCATTTATTTGGTATAGCCCTGTGAGCCATTCGGCTCTTGAATCGGGTGCAACCGCAACAAACAAAAGACAAAAACATGAACAAGAAAATATCTTAAAGTGACCATGTGACTGAGTGCAAACAGAAAATCTAGGAAAAAACAGCAAAAAATATCTCAGAAAAGGCACCGTACACCAACGCTGTGTGCGAAAATCCCAGTGGGATGCAAGTCAAACAACAACAACCACAAGGCAACTTAGATTAAGGCCATCAGTCTAACTCCGTACTACACGAAACAAACATGGCCAAACCAAAAAACTTTCCGAAATAACCAAAATAAAGCCATAAAAGCAATGTAACAGTGATCATAGGAACTGTGACCGAATTTTCACAATAAACGACATAAACAACATGTACCACCAAACCCTGCAGCCATAGCTGGCTGCATGAGTCACTCCACAACAGCAGGAGCATCAGAAGGAGTATAAAAAAATGTTCCATGCACCTTTAAGATCAGCACACTAAATCAAAACACAGATCATACTTACGTAGGTATGTGAGCGTGTATGTGCGTTCATGCGCGTGTAAATATTAATGTGGGGAGTGATAGTATGGCGGTTATCGCGCTGCATTATGAACCCAATGACCTGACTTCGATTCTCGCTTACGGCCAACACCAGTGAAAATTATCTGAAACGGTCATTGAGCCTTCCCCTAGGTCAGCTCAGCCTCCAATCAGTACCTGGTGCGGTGTGTACAAATCGGCACAAGGGAGATAAAGGCGGCCGGACATGGTGCTGGCCACCCACCCCCTCTGGTGTGCTGCGTCGGTCTTCTTGGGGGGGGGGGGGGGGGGGGAATCAGACATTTGTGACGATGTGTGACGAGGGGGGGGGGGGTTTGAAAAATGTGACGTCACATCAAAATGCGCAACTTTAAATAAATATAGACAACACGTTATACTTAATTAAATAGACTTTTTAAGAAATGTTTTCTCCTACAACATCAGAGTGCAGCGCCACATTAAATACGCACTACAATGACAATAGTTTAAAGCGATTTGAAGCATGTTTTATATTTTTTGTGGGGGGGGGGGGGGCAGAGCTTTGTGACGTCATATTTGAGGGGGGGGTCTGACTTTTTGTGACGCCGTGTGACGAGGGAGGGGGGGTCAAAAATTTTCAAAAATCGCGTGACGTCATTTATGGACGGCCCCTTATGACAAAAACAAACAAAAAAGTGTTATGATTAGGCACATAATGATTAATCAATTATTAAATATTCTCATGAGCACAATACATGCCGTATCGCTAATGGGATTTTTTTACTGTACATCGCGAGTTCGTAAAGGGAGCGATGCACCAAGGACCGGTTCCGGTATTGCTCACCACTTTTCATCTGTGGTCGTCATTCGAACTTGGGTTGAAATGTTCTTAACGCAATGTAAAATAGCCATCACGCGCATCTCTCACTTGACTTCACTCACGATTCTTAATTACACTCCATGACTTGGCAATGCGCTTTCCTGTGCTTATCACAAAGTTTTAGTGGGTGGATTATTTTAGAATCTCATTAAAAACATTGCATCCATCATGGAATTTACATCGTTGTTATTATTATTATTAATTGCAAAAAAATGTTTAGTCGTTCGGCACAGCAAATCAAAACCGGTCGTGTTTTGAGAGCGTCAGGAGTGCCCTGTTCATTCACGAGGAATTTTGATTGCTCATTGTTAAATTTCGATTTAAAGCTTTCGTGACTGCAGGGATTCATCTTCTTGGTTCTTTCGGTAAAGTCACGTAGAAGGGAAATAATAAAATAATAAAAATAAAACATAATTCAAGAATTCTCACGACGTTTCGGCTACAACGCAAGCAACCGTCCTCAGGTGAAGGACGGCTGCTTGCGTTGTAGCCGAAACGTCGTGTGAATTATGTAATTATGTTAATTTTGTTATTCTTTTATTATTTCCCTTCTATGTGACTTTACCGAAAGAACCAAGAAGATGCTCATTGTTATATTACCTCTTTTTATATATAAAAATGCGTCTTTTCCCTATTTGACTGTAATTGTGCTATATTGGCATCATGTTAGAGGATCAAGAATCCATTTTCAAGTGGCATGTTTGTCTTTGAAACAGCAGGACCGACACATTCTTACACAATCTGCTATGCGATTGTTCATCGCATGGCAGTCAAACTGATATATCCTGTATATTTATTTATAGAGCAGAAGTTTAGCCAAACTACATGCAAAACGAACTTTTTTTTTATTTTGTGTTGTTTTCGGTGACCCAGCTGACACCATCAGCTGATTTACTCATAGGCGGCTGAACCCATACGCAGGAATGTGGCGATTCCGGCTCAATACTTTGATTTCTGAACCACTAGGCTCCCTCTGTTTGACACCCTCATCCTGCAGTGGATTGACAAAAGTGTTTTTGCACGTATGCATGCGAGTCTTCCATTGAGATATAATCTCACCATGTGAAGAGAGATTCGGGTCAAACAAGCGCCAAAGTGGAACAACCCTGTAAGTTCTGGCAAACGTGCATTCTGCCGCTGTGTATTGTTTAGCATGTGACTTGCAGTACAGGGCTCACCGGTTTCAACCCCCAGCTGTGCAGTGGAAACAACGAGGAAGTTTTTTTTAACATCCCCTCCTCTGTCTCCCAGAAGTATAAATTGATCCACAAGAGTTGATCAGAAGATCGCGTGGGGGGGGGGAGCTAATGTGTGGGACATCT